GAGCTTAAGTGTCCTCCTTCCCATTGCCATAGCTCATTCTTTTTTCTTTACAAAAAGAAGAAGAAAAATATTGCCATACTCTAAGGAAATAAGAATAAAAAGACAAATTTCTAAGATACTTCAACTTGGATTTCCTTTTCTGATACAGGTAATAAAGTAATATAGCCTTAGAAAATAAAGTATTAATGTAGTTGTAGAATCTAATAGCTTCTATCCACAGCCGTCTGAATTTCTGACATACAACCAATGTTTCTTTAGCTTCTACTGGTTGGGACTCTGACCAAGAACCTTCCATGGCCCTTTAGATTGTCACAATCATGCCACATTGTGGCTAAGGACATGGTGTTGTTTTCTTATGGCTAATAAAGAAAACCCTTAGCTTCAGAGGTTTTTCTACTAAACATAACTGTGTACTATTAGTCTCAATATGAATAATTATGCTTTTTAAACATCTTTTTAACAAATTGTTACACAGCATTACAGACACAGCATCCCCTTGCTGTGTTTGTACAGGTGAACAAGAGGACACAGTGGTTCTGTGACATGACTCTGGATTTGCTATGGGGATGATAGACTTTGGCACTAAGACTTTGAAAAATTAAAATACGCAGGCAATGCTTTTCTTTCCACTGTGTAACAGCCTCACTCATTCATTTAGACTTTACTTCTTTTCTGTGGTTGACTAATTAACAAGGAAACAAATCCCCCAAAGAGATACTTAATGTTCCCAATATCCCTAGTTCTTAAACATGATGTCATTCATATCTGTGCTCACAATATCTTTAGACAGTGAAAGGGAATCTGCCAGACTTGTGGAAAGAGTGTGTGAGAGCATCTGTGTGTATGTGACTCTGTGTATCTGTGCTCGTCTGTGTTTGTCTGTGAATCTGTGTGTGTGTGTGTGTGTGTGTGTGTGTGTATTGCTAAGGATGCACACTGGTGCCTTGTATAAGTTAAGCAAGTACTCTCCACCAAGCTAATCTTCCCCAACCCTAATCTTTTTTATTATTTAGTTCAACATGCATTTAATCACTCCAGCTCAGATCCGTGGTGAGTAAACATCTTCGTCATAGAAAAGCTAAGCAATATAATCTAAGTAACAATGTGGGCTGACTAAATCAATGTTGGCTAACACAGAATGACTTGCATATCCAATTTCTAAAAAAGTTCTGTAAGAACTAACAGTCTTGTTCTGAAAAGGAACAGGTTGACTCAAAGTGCAAACATGTTTGCGCTTTTGGTTTTTAAACATTATGATGCTATTTAGAAAAATAAAACACAGAAAGGCAAACATAGAGATAAGGGTGCTACTGAAGAAGCAGGAGGGAAAGGGTGAGCATGTGAGCTTAGGAAATGCCAGTGGGGAAAAAGAGACTAACACAAGTCGTGTTTTCACAATAGAAACAGCAGGAAATTGATAGATTTCCTGAGAGAGTCAATAAGGAGAAAGGCATGTAACATTACAATAAATGTGGGCTCTTGCCCATTAAAGTATTAAAAGAAATACTGAAAATATTTTTAAATTGTTAGCAAAGCAATTCGTCAAACTACAACTTTTTAGAATATGCTGGAAATTATGCTGCAAGTACCTTGACTAAATATTCAATCATTTGACTTTCAAAGTATTGATTGACTTGTCTCTGAGTTAATGTTTAACCTGCAAACATAAAAAAAATTGATTTAGCCTTATGAATTTTAGAATCAGGATGGTCTCTTCATATGTTATAGCGAGTTTCCCCTTACATCGGCTCTCCATTCATTAGCAGTACCATTCAAGGAACAGAAAATAGGCAAATGATTTCTTTAAAAAATACCTACAATGGGCAGAGAACCCTGATTGCTTTTTGGGCTGACGAGGGAGGGGAACTTGATTGGGGGAGGGGGAGGGAAAGGGGAGACGGCGGTGGGAAAGAGACAGAAATCTTTAATAAATAAATTAATTAATTAAAAAAATACCTACAATTTTAATATTCTTCATCCTGGATAAGAATGGCATAATACAAAGTATATTAGAATTTTTATACTTGTTTTAAATTTACCTTCTAAGACATTATAGTTTGGCAGTTGAAACATTATCTCAGCCTCTAATTATACGTCCTTAAAATCTGAGTGGAAACGACATCCAGCAAACATAACGTAACACAGGGGACAGGACTGTTCTTCCCACGACAAAGGCACTAAAATGAATAAAGACATAAATTAGGATATAAATGGATAAAATATGGGGAAATTTTACTAGTCCCAAAGTCCCGCTGTCCCTAAAGTCAGATAAAATCCAGAAGTGGTTAAAGATCAGAGAGAAAAATCTTTCATGCAAATTTTATTAGTTCCAAAATATTTATAAGCTTACTAATCACATTTTCAAAAATTACATTGACGTCCTTCTCTCCTGGTAGTTTGTCTTTCATCTGAAAGCTTACTGTTTTGAAATTTTCATATAGAATATTGTCAGATTCCTTGTATAATTACATCAACACTAAAAGAAAATTGTTGTTGAATTATATTATATGGCAAACAATCAAAAGAAGGTATTTTCATATTCTTTGTGCATGTTCTATTTATAAAGTTTAACCAAGTTCAACATCTAAGTTCAGTATTACTAAGCAAAGAGAGTTGGGGTCATTTAATTTAGAGAAACATAAAGACATTTTGTGGGAGGATAAACCATCCACAGTCACTTTGCCTTGAGGTACTCCCAAGCACTAGTTGAGAGAGAAAGGAGGAGGAGGAGGAGGGGGGGGAGGAGGAGGAGGAGGAGGAGGAGGAGGAGGAGGAGGAGAAATAAGAAGAGGAGGAGAAAAAGAACAAGAAGAGGAAGGGGGAAGGAGAATGAAATCATCTTCAGGTTTTCAAGGTACTTAAATTAATATTATAGCAAAAGTTACAGAATCCAGCTTTCACATGACTGGGCTGGGAGCAGAACTTTGGTGACTTATATTCATAACACAAAGAATCAAATATCTACTTCAGACAATATAATTAACGCTGATCCTATATTTCAGTTACATGTACTCTTGATGGCTGGAAACATGCTTAACAGAAGTAAAATGCAGCTATTTTGCGCAATTAATCTAAATGTCTTAATCCCCAAATTTTTTTATTTTATTTTTTTATTAATCCCAAAATTGATAGATTGCATTATCAGATAATATGAATCAACATATCAGAAAAGAATATTCCTCAAAAAGTTTTCATTTCACATCCACACAATATCAGTCACTGTGAGTTGTGTTCTTGTCCCACAGCCCTCTCTCTCATTGGTTCTTTTTCTGAGTTCTTGTTGCAGATTTTTTAACAGGCAAAATGTAGATGATTCCAAATGACTTAGAAACAATTAACTTCTCAACGGAATTGAGAAACCCATGGCAACGTTTCCTTATTTATTGTTTAATTGTTTGGAATTATACCCTTAAGTAATCTTCTTTAAGAATGGGCTATATGCAAGAAATGGGGTTAAGAAGCATCTACTTTAATAAATAGGTGCAGCCGGGCGGTGGTGGCGCACGCCTTTAATCCCAGCACTCGGGAGGCAGAGACCGGCGGATCTCTGTGAGTTCGAGACCAGCCTGGTCTACAGAGCTAGTTCCAGGACAGGCTCCAAAGCCACAGAGAAACCCTGTCTCGAAAAAC